TACACAGGCACTCAATGTGACAAAGTGCTGGAGATGGAGCCTGAACCAATGAAAAAAGTAATTTGGTTTCAGCTGGATTCAAACTGAGTTCTTTACCTGGCCTTTTTATGCCTTTACTTGTCCTATGCATGGACAAAGAGCTGGACAGGAAAATTCAGACCTGGCTTACGTATCAGAAATGCTGCTCTGCCTTACAGTCTCTGTTTCTGATGTTTCATTTATAGAGTCCTAAGGTCTTGACTTCTATTTATTTTCTGTTACTAAAAGACTAATATTCTCAGGGTGTTGCCTTATGTACTGGGCATCAACTGCAGAATAGAAACAACCCTATGCATTTCTGCTTCCTTTATCCCAAAATCTGTCACTGTGTTTTGAGCACTAGCCTCCCCAACTTGCCTATGATTTCTGTATTGCAGAGAGCAACTGCTCTTCAGTGCCACCAAATTGCTAGCCATGTAGCAAAACAAGGGCAAATGATTTTGGCTTTCTCTGACTTCAGAGAATGGTGGTAAGATCAACATAATATTAAAGGGATTCATGCAGCTGTTAAACCCACCATTTTGCTCCCTCTTCCCAAGCAGGGGGATGTTCTGGGCTGCTTTTCTTGGACTGAATTCATCTTTTCTCATTCTAGGGCTTATCTACACTTACCCTTTGCCCCACTTTTCCCAGGCATAAGTCTGTGCTTTAAAGCTCTGGGTCTGAAAGCCCCACTTTGTTGTTGCTCCAGAGTGTTCTCTGCGAAAACCCGCTATTTAAAGTTGAAGCACAACAAAAGGCAACCAGAATTTTCTGTTGATTGTAGTTTGCTCCAATTCAGCCTTAAAGAGCAGGTTTTCATGGGGAAAGCTTGTGGGGGGAGGGAGGGGTTGCTCAGACACAGAGCATTAAATCACAGACTGTGCCTGGAAAGAGCAGAGGAAAGGTAAGTGTGTGTAAACCCCTAGTGCCCATCGACCAGTCCTAGCCACGGCGGAGAAAGCCCTCTTTATGATGACCACCAACCTGATAGAAGATGGAACTATTTGACTATTATCTGTTGTCAGGGGTTCAGGAGCAGAGGCAAGGGCAAGGGAGGAAACAGAGAGCGAGGGGGAGGAGGCAGAAGAAAAGATGAGTGATGACGACGACCCGAGATCTCCGAGTCTTTCCAGTGAATCAGAAGATTCACAGAAAGGAGCACCAGTGGCCAGG